TCAACAATAATTATATTTATTTATTAAATAACAAGATATTACAACCTCTCCCCCCTCCAGATAAACTTTAACTTATATTTTTTATAAATTAAAGTTTACAGTTTTTAAAACAATAATATCAGCACAACACAGAATTAAAGTATAAGCATTTAAAGGAGAATTAAACAAGAAATAACATAATAACATACACTGAAGAAGAGAGGAAGGAACAAAATATTTTTCTTATCTATATAGAGAAACAAATTATTTAATCAGGCCAGGGAGTACGACTTAATGCGTCTACATTTTTATGGTTTTTACCACTTCGATGAACGATCGTGTAATTGTAAGGTTGTAGTACCAGTGCCCATCTCATAAGTCGTGGATTTAGACTCACATTATTTTTGAGCCAAACTAAGGGATTATGATCGGTCATGATGAGGAATTTAGTATGCCCGTCTAAATAACATTGAAGTTTCTTTACAGCAAATATTATGGCGGCGCATTCCTTTTCTGTGATACAGTACTTTTTTTTCAGTTTCTGTAAACTTCTTACTGAGGTATAATACTGGATGTTCATTGTCTCGTTCATCTTTTTTGAGCTAAAATGACACCCATACCAGAGTCTGAAACATCAATTTGCAAAATAAACTCCTTATTGAAATCAGGCGAGTGTGACAAAGGCTTTTGTGGCAGTTTTGCTTCTTCAACAACTAGCTCTTGTCTGTTTAGTTTCTTTAAAAACTTCTCTTTGACTTGCATTCTCATTGAATGTGGCAACTTTGAGTATCCTTTATCATATTTGTGCTTCTTTGCTAAGTTTTCTGACGCGTGCATAGATTCTGAACGTATTTTTAATTTCTTAGCTTTAGAAGCACCTTCATGAGTTCTTTTGTCAGGAATTATTTTATCTGCTGTTAACAAACTGTCAAACACAACTTTGCTTTTTGGAGAAGAAGGAACTGGGGAACTTGTAGGAGAATACTCATACACACTATCCACAGAAGATGAATCAGCAGGTAAATAAGGTGAGTCAACATCCATATCAATAATTTCAGTTTTCTCATCAGTAGATGAACGCTTTAGATTGTGTTATCAGATTTCTGTGAAGCATTGACAGAGGCTTGACACTTAGAAGGGTGCATATTGACCAAATTATTCTGAGTTTTAGCACTATTATTTGTTTGGTTCTGCATCAAAGTTGTGTAGTTCTGCATTTGATCCCTATATTTTTCAGGAATAACAATTACTTCATTTTCATTTCCATTTTTATCTAATTTCTTTTTCATCAACAGCTCGCTCTCCTTTACTTTGAAATCATTTGTCTTGCTGGAATTTTCATTTTTAGCTTCCTTAAGTAATGACGTTAGATCTCTGCTTTGATGCTGAGATTCAATTAATTCCTTTGAATTAACATTAATCACTTTCTTAATTTCCTTGTCTTCCTCATCAGCTTGCGGTAAAATATCTTCGTCAGTTTCAATAAACTTCACTTCTTTCTAGTTTCTCCATTTCAATTTCTCTGCTTCGGTCATCTTTCATGAGATCTTTTTACTTGAGATCGTGTCAAAACCGCATTTATTTTTTCTAAATTTAAGAATGATTTATTTTTGAACAATTGTGCAGTTTTGTTACCCAATACATATCTTCCGGGATCATTTGTAACAACAGCTGCCTTTGTCTTTATATTACCAAGCTCGCAATTAATTTCAACTTCCGCTAACGGTAGACATACTAAATGGTCATTTAAAAGATATTGTACCCAGACATGTTCTCCAGTCATTTTTGCGTTATCTATGTATTTCCGAGAAATAACATCAACAGTGGCTCCTGTGTCTCGAAGAATAGGCATTTCATACCCATTCACTAAACTGTTAATTGTATATGTCTCTAACAAATCATCATTTGAAGATACGCAATTTACCTTTTCATTTGGTTTTAAGCGAGGACACTGAGGCTTAAAATGTTCATATGATCCACACTCGAAACAACGTGGTCGATATCTTTTGTCATATAAATTTTCTTGGTTTTCGTTTTGGAACTGATTCCTTTGCTGATGATCTTTCTTGTATTTTGAATCATCCCATCTATCAGAATGCTTAAAATGAGGCGGATGCTCTATTTTTTTCACAAAATTATCATAACGCAGTTTAAATGATCCTTTGTTAAATTTCTCAGTCTGATTGGTAGAAAATTTCGGTTTTATTGTTTTTCTGACATCTTCAAAATTTTCAATTTTCTTAACCATCTCAGTAGGTGAAATTATGGTTGTCCATTGATCCATAAAATGTTATTTGAAATCAGGAGAAGTACGCTTTTTTATTTGATCAACCAGCATGAGATCTTTTAGCTGTTCAAAAGTTTTAATGTTTAATCCGTTAAGCCATCCTTCTAAATAATTCTTTAATTCATAGTAGAAATCATACCAAGTACTTTCAGTAGATTTTTGGTGTTTATTAAATAGTTGTCGAAATTTTTCCGCAGTCAATTTAAATCGTTGTAACAGTAAAGTTTTTACATATTCATACTTTTTCGCTTCCTCTTCTGGTTCTCTAGCAATAAGCTGAACAATGTCAGGAGGCAGTAATGAAATAAGTTGAGTCACTTGATTTTCAGCAGGTATATTCATTATTTTAGCTTGACGCTCAAATAACACCAGGAATAAACTTATTTCATCTTCTTTAGGGTTGAAACGTGGCATGACATCGTGAATTCTGATTTTTAAAGGCTGCTCAGGTAACTGCGTAGTTTCTGCCGGCTGTGCTGTGGCAGCCATTGCTTCCAGCTGAAGTTTCTGTAGCTCAAAGGCTCTAATTCGCTCTTCTCTTTCACGCTCTTCTTTTCTTTCCCTTTCTTCTCTTTCGCGTTCCTTTTCTCTTTCTTCTCTTTCGCGTTCTTTTTCTCTTTCTTCCCTTTCGCGTTCTTCTCTTCTTTCTCTTTCTTCTCTTTCACGTTCTTTTTCTCTTTCTTCTCTTTCGCGTTCTTTTTCTCTTTCTTCTCTTTCACGTTCCTTTTCTCTTTCTCTTTCTTTTCTTTCACATTCTTCTTTTCGTTCCCTTTCTTCTCTAATTGCAGCCAGTAGTTCTCGAGTAAACTCCTCATCATAATCGGGACTTTCAGTAATCAGTTTATGCAATTGAGCAATCTTAAATTCAGGTTTCACGGTTAAACCTAACTCTTCTGCTAGTACTTTTAAATCCTGTTTTTCACTCCTAGCTAAGAATGACATGTTGACACAAGTTACTTTTAATAGGCTTCCTTTTGAAATTCAATCTAAAGGCTCGTACTTGTATTAAAAATATATAATTTCTGGCGAGATTTAATTTCTCGAATACGAAATTCACACTAACCAATTGGAGAGAATTATTTAAACAACTTTGCCAGGTTGGCACAAAATAATTTAATACTACGTCGGGTTGACGTTTTAACTCACTATTCACAAGCCTCGTTAGCTATAACTATATAAACACCTTTGCCAGTTAGGCAATACAATGGAATTTTACCAACGTCAGTTTGACGATTTTACTATCTATCTCCACGCCTGGTTGGCGATAACAAAAACAATTTTTGCCAGTTTGGCAATACAACTTTTAGAATATACAATCTGTAATACGTCGGGATGACGTTACTATCTACCACACGCCTGGATGGCGAGAACTTAAACTTTGCCAATTCTGCAGTATAATCAATTCACTCTACGTCAGTTTGACGTTATTACTTATTTTCACGCGCCTGCTTGGCAACAAATTCAAAAACTCAGCTAGCAGTTCTTTTTTTTTTCTTTTTTTATAAATGCCGGGATGGCTTACACATATCAATTATCAACATAAAATTTCAATACAAATAAAAGTAAAGCCTAAATAATAATTTCAAAATACTTCTTTACCACGAAATATCAATTATAAATTTAAGCTCCTACTATTTTTAGTGTCAGTTATTTTACATAGAAATTACTTACCACGATTTAAACTATAATTCTGAAATACAAGTACCTAAATTCAATAAATACTTTTTTAAGAAAACCAAAAGTTAATCTTATCTTGAGAGATCAGCAGTATCCTATTTTGACAGTTCTTTGCTCGGACGCAAGTTACAGAAGCACAGAAGATAACCTTTGAATGATCCGCTTCAAAATCTGGCTTTAAAACGGCAGACTTCTTACATCCAGTTTCTCCTTGAAATGAAACAAACTTCGGGAATTAATACTTAGCAAACTTGTTCTAAAAAGTTCAGTAAATTTCTGGGATTAGGAGACCAGCACCATCGATATTGATAATTGCACTCCTAATTTCCAGTATCTCGGTGGAACCTCCAATTTATTAATTAATGACTGTAATGTATTTTGCAGTAATTTACAAAACAGACAATCTTCTTAGTAGAACATATATTTTATTTCTAGTTCTCGGTGAAAGACAAATTTTATAAAATTCTTAAGTGGCAAAATTTTAATACTACTCCTAGCTGCAAAATCTTCAGAATACTAAATCATTTTAACAATATCTCTCGTTGCTGAGTAACGGTTTGATATAAATATGGCGTTGCCACTTCAACAATAATTATATTTATTTATTAAATAACAAGATATTACAACGCTAACCACTTACGGCCCGACAGCACGCCCGAAAGTATGCGAAAATTACAATCAATGCATCCCTTCCTTTATGGCAGATAGCACTTGTGTACTTTGCCTTAAACAAACTCTTAAAAATTTGTGCCATTTGTCACATTAATAGAAAGGACACCATTTAAGGCTTTTACTACCTTGTACAGAAATTTAATTAACCTATTATGCATTTCAGCCTGCTTAGAAGGAGTTTCACGCGCTATTTCAAAATACTAAAATACTATTATTAAGATATCACTTAGTAAGCATTTGCAATTATTTAGCATTTTAATAGAAAATAAATATGCTAAATTTTTGTCTAGGAAAGAAAAAAAAATATACTTGATGCTTGATTTGAAATGCATTACGTTCATTGATTTCCTCCCTTATGTTAAAGTTTTTATTTGTTTTCTCTTAGGCACAAGTAGGCCATGCCATTATACTGTTATTGAAGATGACAACAATTTTACTGCAGATGATCTCCAGAAGTTAACATATTATTTGTGCCACACTTACGTAAGATGCACCAAAAGCGTATCAGCACCAGCTCCTGTGCAGTACGCACATTTAGCAGCGTATCGTGCATTACAACATCTTGCTACGAGGGTCGAGGAGTCTACAACTAGCAGTGATACATCAGCTGCTGATGCATATCATCCTTTGCCAATGGCAGTTTTAAACGCGATAAGGGTCGTTGATATATTTCGTGATGCTATGTATTATGTTTAAAATAATATATTTTTATATTAGCAACATGGTAATACGTAAAATAATATTTGCGGGTGTATCTCATGATCACTAATATGGCTGCTCAGTAGTAACCTTCAGATGCCATTGTGTGTTCCCCGCTTCACGTGGCAATTAGTGAAAATTCAACTGATGATCACTACTATAAATAACCATAAAATAAACCATTAATTTTAAGAATACTCTATGAATTTAAAGAACATAACCATGAATTTTACATAAAATATATTTTAAGTATAAAATAAGACTCATGTCTGAAGTTGCATCGCGAAAAGTAAAAGCGTGAGTTAGACTGCTGCATATTACTCAAATTAATAATGTTTTCTCATTAAGATTTGGTTGCATGACACGTATGTGATATACTCGAAACTCTTTTAAATGAGTTTTTTTATACTGCCAGCGTAAATCGAAATATTTCTTTATCAAAACAAAAAATAAAATTTCTTTTAAATTCTTTTCTTTTTTATCACTGCCTTTTTATGCACAAATTTCTTCATATCAATTGTTATAATATCTGTCATTTCACGTCATTATATTTTTAAGCAAAAAATAACATATACATACTTTTCGGCTACGCTACTGTATGTAACATAACATACATTCCTTAGTTAAATATCTCATATATATATATGCATATGCATCTCATGATCAATCTCAAAATAAATCTGTCTTATACTATTCGAAATTTTTCTAATTCATATAGTGTTATACTGTTTCGAATATTTTAATGCCTTTGACAAAACTCTCTGAAGCATTTCACAACTGAATGTTTTCATTTAGAATGTTTAGTTGTAGAAGTTTAATGTTTTTATTTAGAATGTTTAGATGTGGAAAGTGAATGTTTTTATTTAGAATATTTAGATGTAGAGACAATGTGTTAAGATTATAGTAGGAAAAATACACAAAAATACTTTTGTTTCAATGTCTTATTAGAGATGTAGTATGAAAAGGATTTATAGTTTTTTTTTAAATATACCAATATGTTATCTATTTTTGTTTCAGTTTGTATTTTCAATTTTTATACATTTGGTGCATAATAAAAATATATCTTTTGTATGTAATGTTATTATTTCTCGGCTGTGTGTAAAATGTATTTTTGTTGAGCTTTTTGTTAGTGGAATTTTGTACAAAATAGTAAAACAAAAGTATGCTGAATAGTGTTTTAACTGTGAGAATATCATTACACCATGTTTTTCACGAGAAAAATTAGTGTCTGTGAATAAACTTCCTTTTAAATGACTGGTTCGGAAGAACCGTGTTTCCACCAGATTCATTAACTATATCCTTAAATTTCTGTTAAAAAGCTTTTAGAAAAACATATTGTTACTTTTTTATTCTTCTGACACCAGTTGTTGCGTTTTTCTTTTCCTTCACGTTCATACTGGGTTCGTAGATTTGGAGTGAATGACGACGACACTTGATGAATTATCGAAACACACTTTATTCAGCCAATATTAATCAGGACAGCTACAAAACACTTTTACAGTAGTCGAAGATCTACAATAAACTCGCTGGAACAATCAGCGACACAGCCTTCACACTGTCAGGCTATCACGGTTGGAGACAGCTTCACCGCAAAGCATCAGAGTACAGCTTCTGACTCTGCTTGGTCGTTCTTGGAACTCCACGTACTCTCGAGACTCTCCACGCTACAACTCGCGATGCACTTGACGATACGCAAGAGTATAGCTCTCGGCTCAGCACAGTCTAAGACAAAACTCGACGATGCACTAATTCACGATACACTACAAGACTCTCTCGATTCACTCGTCGACCAACTCGGCAGCAGACTTCGAGAAACTCACTCAGTGATTGACTATCAGCTCGCTAGACGAGGCACGCACTAACTGACTGCGGACCAGCAGGGTTTATATAGCTTTTGGCTGCTGTTCGAGAACATTCTGGGCTAAACTGGTAAAAATTCGTTCCAGAAGGTTCTCCAATCGTCCATGGTATATCGTCAATTTTGTCGCCAAATGGGCGATTTCTCGCCAAATATGGCAACCCTGCTTTCCCTTGCCATTTTATGGCAACCATAAAACTGCTTTGCGGGGAAGCCATCTCACCGCGTTTGTACAATATTAATGATGAATGTTTTCCTCAATAATAAACGATAGTTACATTAATTTTTCAGAAACTTGAAACATGTTTCATATTTCCCAAACATTTAAAACATACTCCAATTTCATCAAAATCCTTTTCCTTTCATCCGCAGAAATATTATGCGCATAATCACGATCCTTCCTGAAATGGTCTGACAAATCACAAAATACACTCTTAGGTTTCATTCTAAGGTATTTTGAATTTATTGAACTTAATTCGGATGCAAAAGCAATCTTTGTGTTATCAAGTTTATCGTTCTTTGAATCTTGTTATATTTTTAAGAACACCGGATGTGAAATCTGGCTGTCGTCGAGAAATATATCTGTAATCAGAATGAGTCATCATTACAGCTCACCCACGTGAATTCAGAATTTTGGAATGTTTTTCTTTAATTCATTAACATCAGAATAAACTTTTTCATCTTCACTTTTATTCCCTTCGATAAGAATAAACCGTGCCAGGGCGTTTAAAATGGTAGGGCTTAAAGCAGTAGAAACATTTTCTGTAAAATAAACCAAGTCTTTAAAAACTTCTCAATTCAATCGATACTTTATCATAAAATTTTCTGAAACATGAATCTCAGATGAACATTTTAACGGTTTTATACTCAAAATATTACTCATATGGGTATGAATCAGTGACTAAGGATTTGTAAACCTTGTTTTCAATAACTCAGTAGTATAATATGTAGAAGCCAATATAGAAAATTTTTTCTACATATTTAAAGCTAAACTACCTAAATGTCCCTTCAGATAATTCAATTTATCTATTTTATCCAAAGAATCATTTTTATGAATTGCGGAATCATATGCTCCAAAATGTTAACCTTCCACTATTAAAAAATAAGAATACTCATTCTTGGTAGTTTAATAGGAATTAACTTCTGTTTGCTTCGCATTCATATTTGGTATAACTATACTGTTATCACTTTCGCTCACGAATTCTTTTTTATTGGCATAAAATTTTCCCACAATTACTTTTTATCAGTATATTTTTCAGCTCCTGTCATTTCATTCCGGCTTACAATTCATCTAAATCCAATAGCAACTTTACTCATTATCAACAGTTTGCATTGAAAAACAAGTTTACGTGTCAAACTTGTAACGAGTTCCTCTAAAATCATCGGATGTTATTTCTTCCGTTTTCGCAAATTCACTTTTTAGCTTATTTAGTGTTTTAGCAACACCAACAGATGTACGCAATATGCCGCATCTTTTCTCTAATTTCTCAGTAGACACGTTTCTTACATGTAAAATATGCTCTAATTATTCAGAGTTCAACAATAATAGACAGCCAATCCTGGCAGGGATGCCATATTAATTAAAATTAAACTTACAGAAATTAGCATATAAAAATAGCAAGAGTTACTTAAAAGTTAGTCTTATATCTCTATAAAATTTCGTAAAATTCCCGGTAGCAATTGACAGTAAAATATCCCAATAAATTGAATTTTGAGACATTGTTTAGGTATTTACACATAAAATAATGCTGGAAACAGAATACAACGAGCATTAATTGCACAGCAAACTATCAATTCCAGATGATTCTTGAAAAAAATTGTACAGTATCATCCTGTAGGGTTTATATTTATTTTAACTAACATTTATTTTAAGTTTAAACTATCTTTCCTGTCAAGCCTTACTTTCCCCTGGAACTGCCAATGTCAGAGTATTGTAAATTTTAGTAGAACGCGCAAGGATTCAAATTATCAGCGAAGTATTGATTAATAAAGGAAAACGAGTTCGAGGTGTTGTGTTCTTACTTCACGAGCGCGGAGGTAGTTAGCCAAAATTGAAGAACCCGTGTTCCTGTGTGCTTTGCCTCGGAGAATTGTTATCGTTCAACGTGATATTCAATTTGCTGAATTAGCAGGTATTGTAAACGCGGTGAGGTTAGTTACTTTTAGAAGCCTAGTTAGATCTTGTTATTATTCTTTTCAGGTTCTTATTTTTTTTATTTTACCGCCGGGTCGCGTAGTTGTGAGCGTCAAGAGCACGCAATTGTAACTTTTTAAGTTGAAAAAAAAGGGACTTAAACCCTTAGCAAGACTCTGTCTATTTTCCAGTTTCAACAGTCACCTCTTGGTTGCGTGCAGGTTGGAGGCGCGCAACTCTACAATCCAGAGAGAAAATTTCCACTACATGGCTAAAATTAATTTATATAAAACGATATTTCACGAAGGTCGCTGAGTATATTCTTGACATTTATTGATTTCAGTGTGAATTCGCATTTCATTTCTAAACTACTGCCAAAGGCCTCAGAGCTCTTAGGTATAGGTGAAAACAATTGTAATTGTATACCTCTTTCACACTAACAGCATCAGACTAACAGCACTAGCAGCACAGTAATGTTAACAGCATCAGAACTGCACTTTCATAAACAAAACTAAAATTTAACACTAGAAGCTAACTTTCACTTGTAAGAATGAGAAAGAATTGAAATTCCTTATGCCTGTTGTTAACGATATGTCCGAGACAACTATGGAAGCAGGTGAAAACTAGCTAATCCTTCCTCGCGTAGAGCCAACACAAACTTAGTACTTCCGTTTCAGGGGAAAAAAAAAAAGGACCGTACTTGAACAACGTTTTTAAGAACAAACGTTTTCTTTCTTTAATTTCTAAAGAAACGTAAAATGACACTCCTTTCGAAGTTTCCGAATGTAACGTAAAATTTTGTTTGAAAGTGTTGTTACGTAATGTATTCGGGAATTACACCTTAGCTTATCTGGGCACTAGCTGATGACATTCCAAATTATGATAACAGGTTGACAAGCAGTACAGCTTTTAACAATTGCAGAACGCTCTGATCTGTCGGCACGTCGCTGTTATGCTCTCACACAGCGAATATCATTGGTAAGGTTTAAATGAGATTCATCACTAAATATTATCATTGTGCTTTTTATTACATCAAGAGATTTTGATACAATTGCATTCTTTTACATTGGTGCGATAATATCTAGGGTAGTCTTTGCAAAAGATGGTTTGACTGTAGGTCGCTGTCAGTCATTCTTTGGAAAAATGTTTTCACTGTCAAGTCCAAAGCTTCTTGCAAAATAATCTTAAAATGACGGTAGTAGTGGATTGCGCGGTCGCCGTTGCGTGCTTTCGAATGCATTCTTTATACCTTTATCCCTATGATGATACACATTCTCTTCTTTATTCCTGTTTTCAAATCCTTTGGCACAGTCGATGAATTTTGGTATGTTACAACTTTGATACGACGGTACGATCACCCAGCATTGCGTAAGCCTCATTAAATTTCTTGTTAAGTCTTCAATTTAACGAAACTTTCTTCGGTGGAGTCTCCCAGGCATCTTTTCAACTTAATGTCCTCGCAGTCTGCATATTACTAGAGAAAATTTTCAAAATGGAGCTGCTTTTTTCTTTGTCACGTAATGTAATATGTATCCCTGTTACCATTCGAGGATACTTCTTTTCTAGGCTACCAGATTATGCAGTCTACATATTAAACCATATTTAATATTTCCATTCGGTTTCTACAAAGGTTTACAAAATAGAAAAAAATGTCTCTGGAATTTTGAATCATATTATACAATAAGTTTGTAGAGACATTAGGTATTTTTTGGAAGGAGGCAAGGTGGAAAATTAGCAAACGCCTTCGCCGGGAATCGAACCACGAACCTCTGGATACCGGCCGAACGTGCAGAACCACTACACCACGAAGACACGCTAGCAAGGTGGGAGAAATACCTTATATACTCCCCCTTTTCTAAAGGGCAACTGGGATTTTTAGGGGACCCAATCGCCAAATCCTGGGTGAGGAGAATCATCATCCAACACACTTTTGGTTCGGGCGCCACTGCAGAGACATTAGTTTAATTGGAAAAGCCGGAGAGATGAAAAATGAGCAATCGCCTTCGCCCGAATCGAACCACTGACCTCTGGAATTCCGGTCCAGCGTGCCGAACCACTACACCACGAAGGCACGCTAGG